TGGAGCTGGCTGGGAGAGGGAGGTGGAATGCCCTGGGACATGACTCAGAAACGCTTACCTCAGCTCCTCTCTTACTGGCTTTCCTTTTGAAGCTCGTTCTCTTCTTCTTCCGGTTGGAGGCCTTCAGAGAGTTCTGCAGGGAGAGAAGGCAGCCCTGAGGCGGGGGCAGCCGGCCCGAGGGTCCCCATGCAGAACCGTGTGGAAGAGGAAGGCTGCGCATGCTGGCCCCCGCCATGCTTCTCATGCGTGGACACTTCCAAGCCACTGCCCATGGGTGAAGCCACACACAGAGGTCGGTCAAGTGCTTCGGAGGGAGCGACTGACTCCCCACCACACGGAGAGGCTGGGAGCGGCAAGCCCGGAGGCCCCCAAGGACTCACATCACAACACATGTTATACCTGCCAACCCTCCCAGTAAAAATGGAAGAATCCCAAATTCTCTGAGGGGCTCCAGTCTCCCGCCCAACCAGGTCCGTGTCCCGCCCCACCAAGTTCAAGTTCATCTCCGGGCATGGAGATCACCTATGTGGAAATGTAAAAGAGGAGGCCGTTTTTCCATGCTTTCCTTCTCTCCGGTGCTTTACTATCTTATAGGGACCTGTTCTACGAGTAGGCAAAAAGACGACTCTGAGTCCATCCCCATGGAATGCCGTGTGCAAGCACACTGATGTCTGGCTTCTGAAATGCATGGAAAAGACTCACCTTAAGGTACTTAATCCCGATGGGGAGGCAGCCGTGGTACTTTCCCCTGCCTACAGTCCCGTGGGTTGAAAGTCTTCCCTCCCCAGGTAACCCCCATCTGTCTTATCTTAGAAATGCCTCAAACTTGCTGACACACAGGGACGCCACCCCCACTTACTGCCCCGGGCTCTCATTTGTCTAGAGATTGTGAGCATGACGGCGGCCATTAAGTGTCATCAGTTCTGCCTCGTGCTTCCTATCTCTCCCCACTGTTTCCTACGTGTGTGACTCAGCTGGCCTCTAGAGTCCAATCTGCAGTCCGGGATGGTGGACCATTTGAACCCCATTTAAGGTCAATGTTGACCTTCCGTTTTCCTGGTTAGTGTATACGCTCAGATGGGAAGGGCCATCTGGAAAGTACATGTTGGGAAAGTGCTTTAATGAGCGTTCTTTTTTGTGTGTACATTTTACACCTTTCTTGTGGCCTATAACTGACCTGAGGAACTGCAGCAGCCTGCATGTTTCATGTGATTGGTTTTGTTCAAAAAGACAACAGCAATATAGATGTTGTTGGTAAACTGAAATGAGCCCCAACGCCTCTGTTTCTGTGGGATGCCCCGTTAGCTGGCTTCCTGATAAACAGTTTCTCTCTTGCTCTGTTCCACTGGAGTGGCTATTAATTGATCAGACTATCATTTGATCACTTAGATGATCCAATTACAGATTTGATCCCTCTAGGCTTTCAAGGAACAGGTCTTACAGACCACAGCTGTGTGACGACATCACTTAACCATGCACTCTGGACTCTTGTCACCAACGCTTGGGGAAGAACCTCCCTCCAGAGGAAAATCCCAGCTCACTGGCCGAAGGCAAAGCAAAACCAAACTTGCTTCGTGAGGAATACGTAACTATTCAGACTGTGGTCTTCATGACGGCAAGCTAGTACTAGCCACACAGAGACGTGTAACAAAGCGGCCAAAGTCTAAAATAAGGAATGCTTCAAGAGTTCCCGTGAGCATTCACACAGGCAGCGTTACACCATCGCTCCAGGTTTTTGAGTAGCTTCCACAGGACACGGG